AATTAATTAAATCCTAATTAGTTACATTAATTAACTATTGATGTATATTTAATTACTAACTAAATATATAAAAAATTAATTTGATGTAAATTAAATTTTTATAGCTATAATAAATAATAGTATATTAATTACATAAAAAATAAAATTTTAATAATTTTTTTTTTATAATAATTTAATAATAATTAAACAGTCATAATAATAACTAAAAATTATGATTAACAATATTATTTGATAGATTTTAATAAACTTAAGTTATACTACAAAAAATTTATTTAAAAGCAATAATAATAATAATAATAATTTTTATTTTGTTATATTATATTATTATAATATTAGACTAAAGTAAATGTTTTTATAATTAAAATCAAGTATTTATTCTATTAGTAAAAAAAGGAAATTAATAAACATTTTGAATAAATAAATAAATATATATTAATTATAATTACATTTTATATGTATATATACTATAAAAATTATAATAAAACAAAAACAAAAATAATTTATGATATATATTATTATAATGTTTGACATCAATTGACTGGCAATATCTAAATTGTATTGTTAATTATTACAGTATTATTAACGAAACTAATATATATTTTTTATTATTAATTATAATATTTAAAAAAACAACAAATTATAATCTATTAATATTACTTTATAATTATAATACTATATCATTATTAATATAAGTATTATATATATCAATAATTACAGTATATCTAAAAAAAACTAGTAATCAAATTATTATCAAAACTAATAAATTTTGTTATAAATTATAATCTATGAAAATAAAATTACAAATTATAATCTATTAATATTAGTTTAATATATTATTAATAATATTATATATATGATATAAATTTATATACAGTATATCATTTTTAACCAAAAGTTTTAACCAACAAAAAAAACTAATAATCATTTTTTTTGAATAAAATATTTTATTCATACATTTACATTACAAATACAAATGTATTTTATTAAATATTTTCTAATAATTAGTCGCTGTTTTGGTCTAACATTTGACGGTATTTGTATCAGTGATACTATGGTTAACAACACTAACAACATTAGTGATGGCAAACCAACAGTAAAACAAAATCAATATTACAAATGGCTGGGCTATTTAACCGGTTTGATCATGGTCATAGTCAATATCTATTCAACCATCTATATAATCATGCACATGGATCTATACGATTTGAAACACGAGTTTACAATTGTTGCACGTGTCCAACAAGTACTGCAAATTGGTTTCAATATTGAACTAACCCTGATACTAATCTATCTACTAGTCAATGGTTGAAACAATTGATCAGGGTATGGTTGACAATGGGTAGTCCTCGGCAATGGAAAAATGTTAGCCTATTATCGGGCACTTATATGCTGTTTGGTTTGGCAACTGTAGTCAATATGTTTCTAGTGTTTAGTTTGCCGACCAATGATTACAAACAATTGATACTTATATTTTTTTCTATCTATAGCATATTTATGTGGCTATTGGTTATTAACATTTATAACATATAGTAATTGATAATAATTATTTAATTTAAATTTATATATATATATATATATATATATAATACCGATTAAAAACTTTAAATTTTAGTAATATTATGTACAGTTAACCTTACAATAATCAAGGTAACTTAAAACAGTATATAGTTAGCTGATATTATTATAAGTTATATATATATATATATATATATATATATATATATATATAGTACTATAGTACCTTGCTAAAGCATTAAATAATATTATTAAAATTTAAAATTTTTAATTGGCATAAACTGTATATATATATAAACTTTATATATAAACTATAATATATATATATATATTTATATATAGTTTATGCCAATTAAAAATTTTTAATTTTAATAATATTATTTAATGCTTATACATATTAGTTTATACAGTTTATAATACAGTCATAATAATACAGTTTATATAAATTTATATAACATACATACACTGTATATTAAGTTAAATATAAATTTCTAATTTTTTTTGAAATATACTAAACATTTATAACATTTATTATATTATAATTACTATTATTATATTACAGGTATATCCATATCGATAAATGAAACTCTAGATAAACTAACTAAACAATTGTTTATAACTACTAATAATTATAATCAATGACAACTAAATAGTTGGACGGAATTAAAAATTATCAAATCAATCAAAAATAAGCTTGATCAAATCAGTGATCTAATCAATGACCTGGATAAATCCATATGGATTGTCATTATAACTACCATTGACTGTACAATATGTATATCCATAGTAATGTTGTTCATGTATTTGGCAATTGTTAAACAACAGATACCAGATATTAGTCTAATAATATCTATATTGATGTCAACCATACGATTGATTGCCAACAATCTGATCAACGGATCGGTACAGTCATCAGTCGATCAACTCATCAATCGATTGGATAAATTGGATGTAAGTGTTGACTGTATGTCGGAGTCATGTTATCGACAATACCCGGCAATTAATAGTTCATCGATTGGTTGGTAAACGGTTTGGGTTTACAATCGCCGGTTTTGTACCCTATAGTCGACAAACACTATTAGCCGTTAAGTATTTTTTTCTCGTTATTTATTATAAATTAAATAATTTTTTTTCTCTTAAAAATTTTTAATATTTATTTTTTTTATCAAAAAAATCAATAGATTTCAACGTTTATATTAAATTATGTTGTTATACTATCTCAACTTGGTAAATTATAATTATGTTATTCAAAAAAAAGTAAAAATAAAAATAAATATTAATTAATAATATTCTGTTATGTTTTATACTGTCTATAGTATTGTATAAAATATATTGTATTTTAAAAATTGTTTTTTTAAATATAACTCATTACTTTATTTACATATTTTAAATAATATATAAATTAATTTACTATTAATTGATTTATGATTACTATTTTAATTTAATTTAATCTATATTTATCAATAAATATTTATTACTATTTATTTTTTTTATTTTTTTCAGTTAAATATAACAAATATTATTTACAGTTTATTGTCGATAATCATTATAACTGACAAAAAATATTTTAGTATTTATTAATCATTTGAACACTTAGTAGTCATTTATCAGTCTATATATATATATGTTGTTATAAAAAGATATATCGCTTTAACTTTTATTTAGTCTATTAATATTCAATCAATTTTATTTTATCTATTTATCTTTTTTTAAAAAAATAAAATCAATAAAAATCTAATCAACTTTATGCTATCAATGTTTGTCACAAACATAAAAACAAACACATACACACACATACACACACATACACACACATACACACACATACACACACATACACACACATACACACACATACACACACATACACTCACACACACACACACACACACACATATATATATATATATATATACATACATACACACACATACAWACACATACATAACACATGGCGTTAAAAAACATTGTCTAAAACATAAATCACAAAATACTAATAATAAAAAAACATTTGAATTTTTTTAGTATAAAGTAGTGTCTCTTTTTTTAACAAAAAGTAATTTTACTGTTCAATGAATAAATAATTGATAAATTTTTATATATATATATATATAACAATATAATTCATGACAACAAATTATTATTAATATTATTATTAATAATATATATTATTTGCTTATTAGACACTATTAATAACATAATAATATATCATATTTTTTTGCTGGTATTGTTAAAATCATTGATCCATTAAATTATATGATAAAAGCATTGCAAATATGATTATTATATATAACTGTAACAATATATTTTACATTATATTTTTGATGATGATGATGATGGTTTATATTTTATGTTATATAAACATATTTTTTTTATTTAGCATATATAAACATAAATATGATTAAATAATACATAAGCAATTATTTTACAATAGTTAAAATAAATATATTATATATATATATATATATATCAATCAATCAATATAAATGTTAAATCAATATAAAATAATTTTTATGTAACATTTATAGTTAAATAATTCAATTTTTAAACATTTAAAAAAAATTTCTGTAATTTTATTTAATTTAATTTTAAATATTTAATTTTATTAATAATAATAATCAAATTTAGATAAAATATAATATAATTTTATATTTAAAATAATTTTTAATAAACAATAATTCAATGTATTATAATTATACTCAATATTAACTAAAAAATTAATTATTATGTTATTAGCCTTTATTCAGATATATTTTTGGGTATATATATAATAATATATATAATTATTATTATTATTTCAAAAATATGTATGTTTTCATAGACCACATAACTTGACTAAATGCCAAAAATTTTTTTACAGTATAAACACATATTATATATAGTTTTATAATTAATGTCTTATTTTTGTGTTGATTATCATTTTCAATGTTGAAAATAAAATAAGATTATTATTATTATTGTAAAGATATTTATAAATAACCAGCAAATTAGTCATTAAATAGTTTTTTAAAAATAGTTTTATTTTAATTACATTATCAACATTTTTAACACTTATTGTTATATATATATATAGATTGAATCGTGTATTAAATAAAAATAAAATAAAATATTCAATTATAATAATTGTAATTATTTTAATAGTAATAATAATATATTCAATATTAATACAATATATATAWATATATGTAATTAATTAGTTAACTATTTGAAAAATATATTATAATTAACTTTAATAGAAATTATATTATGAATTACATAATTTTAATAATAATTAAATAGTTAATAATAATAGTAATAATAAAATAAATGCAAACATTATGTGTATGTGATTATAGAGATAATAATGTTTTTCAATAAACAAAAAAAAAACAAAAATACAATTTAAATATTTTCAACAACAAAATAATTATTATTATAAATAATTTTTTTTGTGTTTTTTTCGTTTAAGATAAACAAAAACAAAATAATAATTATTTTTTTGTGTG